ACTCATAGCGACCCCTCCTTGGGTTTCCGAGGCAGTATCACTACGGAAGTAGGATTGCCCAACCTTCCTTCCGAGGAGTGGCTGGTGGGTTTACAAAGTGCCAAATGGAGCGCCCACCCCTCTGAGGCAGAGCGCGGAAGGCCGGCAGCTGGGAACTTCCTAAGCGGGGGCAGGGGGCTCGCAGGGGCCCTCAGAGTGTAGACGCGAGAGCATGGGCCTTGGTTACCCGGGTTCTAGAGCAGGTGCAGCTCTTATTTTTGCTGCGGGACGCCGAGAAGGTCATTTTCCCTCAGTAGGCCTCAGTTTCCCCATCTGTCAATCGAGTTGGTTGCACCAGATAAGCACAGAGCCTTCCCAGCGCGCGCGTGCCTTAAGGGAGGAGCATCTGGAAATAAGAGAGTTAAAATTATCCGGTTGCACGCGGATGCTCTGCACCTGTGGGTGGGATGAGGACCGCTGGGTTCGCACCAACGGACCTCCTGACACAAGCTCCGAGCGCCCCACTGCCACGGGCTGTGGCGGAAGGATGCTGCGCCCCAGTCGTGGAACCCAGAGGAAGATCGAAGCATAACCAGTTGTGCGCCCCTGGACTGGGGTAACCAGCGCCTTCCAGCTTCCACTGAGCTGTTGCTCGCGGAAATGGAGCTAACAGTGCGCGGAAACCGAGTGCTTAACTAAAATCTGACAGCTCTGTGAGTGTTCGCGCGCGCACGCTTTAAAAAACTCCTCCCATGCCGCCCATCGGTAGTTAGCGTGAGCAGTCTTGGCGGGAGGCGGGAGAGACAGTAAGGAAGTGAATGCAGAGTCCTGGGCCCAGCCGGCAAATTCGGACTCCTTCGGTCTGTAGTCACTGCCTTTCCCGCCATCTTCTTTGGCAAGCCGAGGTTTCCAACGGGAGTGAAGCAGAGGAGGCCTTAGAGAATCCGGAAAACCTCAGTGGCTTCCCATCTATTCCGTAAAGTGGTCTCGTCCCCCCTCCCTTAGGAAGTTCCCAGCGGCCCGCCTTCCGCGCCGGGAGTCTCCGTGGGGAGTGCGCTCCGTTTGGCACGTTGTAAGCTTTCTTCCTAGGTCCCCTGAGCTCAGGTAGCAGCTTCTTGCTATCTTCTGGGATAGAAACCAAGAGCCATCAGTGATGGACGGGGGGGGTCACAGGACTCCTGGAAAGTTAGTGCAGCAGGCATCTTCTTAAGGTCGCTGAAGACTCCAGACATGTAAAAGCTGCCAGGGATCCCCAGCACAACCTTCTTATGGTACAAATGGGAAAAACGGCTCTCAGAAAACACTTTCCCCAAACACGCACAGATGTGCCGCGGAACTCGAACCTGCGTTGGAATCTTCAGCAGACACAGCTCCCACCCTGCAACATCAGACAGACTTTTATCCTTCCATCCGAGGTCCCAGCCATCATAGAACAGTGACTAGCCAGCCCCACTGTGCCCTTTCTAAATTTCTCTCCCACAGAAATCGAGAGATAATAAATTATCAATGTTGTTTCTAGCTGGTATGTTTAGGGCAATTTGCTATTCAGCACTAGATAGTTAATGCTCTGAGTTTCCTGAAGTAACAAATAATAAAATAGATTTGGGGGTATTCATTCCAATTTTCAGTCAGTAAGTGTTTACAGGGAGTTCTGGTGACCTAGTGCCTAAGGCATTTGACTGCTAACCAGAAGGCTGGAGGTTCAAACCCACCAACACTCCTCAGAAGGAAGGTTGGGCAATCTACTGTATTGATACTGACTCAGAAACCCAAGGAGGGGTTGCTATGAGTTGGATCTGACTTGACGGCAGTGTGTTGCATTGCTATTTCCTTGTGAGTATTTATTGAGCACCTTGTACGTGCTGGCTCTTGTACCAGGCAGTGGAGACACAGGACTGAACAGGAGGCATGTGGCCCTTGCCCTAGTAGAACTTATGCTCCATTAGTGGGAGGACAGTTAAACATGATTCCAATAAAGTGCTCTGCCAGAGGGGCTAGTGCAGGAAGCTATGGGAGTGCACACACAAGGCAACTTCCTGGTCAGGAGGGGCCTGGTCAGGAGGGGCCTGGGAGTCAGCCCAGGGATGGAGGAAAGAAGAGATGAGTTGGGAATACAAGGACAGCATGGTCCAGGCTAGAGAATTTTCTGAGATATGTGCATAGAGGGGGACAGAATAGGTGTCAGGCAAGGAGGGGGCACACAAGTAGATTAGAAAAGATGGAGGCTGGAAAGGAATGTGTGAACTCAATCCTGTGTTAGCCAAAATCCCAGAGAGGATCGGTATGTTGCTTGGTGTTGCGAGTTTATAAACTGAAGCCAAATCTAGGGTCCTTCACCAAACCCTCCCGTGATTTCCCCACCAGAGAACACCACCTCTAACAGACATCTCAGTAAGTCCTATTTGGCTCATAGCTTTTATGCACATCTTTCCTTTGATCTAGTCACAAACACTCTGCAGGAAGTTGGCATGAATTCTCATTTCACAGATGAAGAAATGATGCAACTTAAGCACTTAGTACAGGAGCTGGCACATCAGAGGTGCTCAGTACCAGTGACGTGATGACAAGGATGACGATGATAATGAGACCTGGCTCGCATCACATATCACTGCTGTTATTGTCACACTCTGGACTCGTGTTATGGAAACTAACACACAGCGTCTCAGGACCTCAACATCGGTATTAATCTGCTCCCACTCATCTTCTATCCTTGTGTCATTAAAGCCCCAGACGATTCCAGAGGAGGGTCTGATTGATTTAGCTTGGGTCCTGGGCCCACTCCTTGGCTAAAGGAGGGTGAGGGCACACTCATTAGCAGCCTCACCCAGATTGCAGGCAGTGAGGGTGGGAGAGGGGGCTACCCTAAAGGAAAATGGGGTGCTGTTAGTAAAAGAAGGACACAGAGGGGCACTTTACAAAAGCTAGATGCTATGTCTGTTCTGTCCAGTATGCTAGCTGCGAGCCATATGTGGCGCTTTAAATTTAATTAGCATTAAACAAAATGACAAATTCAGTTCCTCAGCCACACAAGGCACATTTCAAGTGCTCAATAGCCATGTGAGGTTCATAGCTACTGTATTAAAGGATAAAGGTTCTAGAACATTTCCACCATTGCAGAAATTTCCAGGGGATGGCACAGCTCTAATATTCTTAATTAGAATCCAACTCTTTTTCTTTTCTTCTAAATTAAGTCTAGAAACAGCCACAAAGAAGGTGAGCCAATCTTCATTCATTTAGTCATTCAGTCATTTCATCATTCATCTGTTCAACAGGCATATACTGTCACTCAGTGTCTAGTCATATATGGCGGTAGGCACCAAGGTTACCTGAGGGGGATTTTGGAAAGCTGGTCCAGTGGATCTCTCATTAGAATCACCCAGCAAGTCTTAACAGTACATGTTGTTGTTGTTGTTGTTATTTGCCATCGAGTCAGCCCCGACTCATAGCGACCCCTCTTTGGGTTTCCGAGGCAGTATCACTACGGAAGTAGGAATGCCCAACCTTCCTTCTGAGGAGTGGCTGGTGGGTTTGAACCGCCAGCCGTCTGGTTAGCAGTCAAGTGCCTTAGGCACTATCCTACCAGAGCTCCCATAGGTCCCTGCAAACAGTTTGCACTGGGCTGCTACTAAGTGTAAGGTTGGCAGTCTGAACTCACCCAGTGGCACATGGGAGAAAGGCCTGGTGATATGTTTCGGT